TGTATTACGTCAAAATGGTTATATTCTCGTTCAATCAATAGTGTTCTGTCTCTCGATATTCTTTCTGTTAATTAAGTAAAGTTGAGCTCATGTTTTCTTACTTACTTGATGTTCATAATCAATTCACTTCTTCTTTTAACTTTCAAATTAAATTCTGACTAATTTTTCATCAAACATATCGCTATTATTTCAATTGAATCAAAATCTGTTAAATGGAGTCTATCTCACATAAGATCAAACATTTCGTGTAACAACAATCGAAAAAATCGGTCATTGGAATCGACAAAAAAGATCTACTGTTTTCTAAGGATGTCCTATTTTTACTCAACATGGAAGAAAAACCAAAAAAGCAACACATTTATTGAAGATCAATCATTTACTAAAACTAATGTGTTCTCTTCTAGTCTTCGCCGAACCAACAAAAAATATATTCAGCAAATATGTTTCAATTTCTCGATCAATTTCAACAATTTTTATAAGGTGAAAATATTTTTCTGTCTGTTCTTTTTTTTTTGTATAGCTTAGGTGTCCAGAAATATGAGCATCACACACATTTTAAATGGCATATTATGCTACATACCTCATCAATATAGCCAATCTAACAGAAGTCTTCCTTGAAACAAAAAATAGTATTCTATTGACCGCTGTCTTAGCGCAATTCATTGACATCATAAAAACAGAAGTTAAACATCAGTTCATCTCAAAATATGACATTCATGTCTACTGAGCGACTCAAACATTTGAATAACAAACGAGTATGAATGGTTTTTAGCAGTTTGTAAGATGTGTATGTTATTTTAATAACTTGATAGTCTACTTTTTGACATTTTAATCAACATTTTTTTTTTCAATAAATATACGTGTCGATCAACAGCATCATTAAAAAACTGCTGATGCTCACCATATTTGAATTTTCTACAACTGTAAAACAAAAACTGTAAGTCAAGTATTTACAGGAACTAGTCAAATGACGAATGTATTAAAGATACATTGTAAGGCTTTTATGAAATTTCAATGTTAAATATTCGGTCACAGAAGAAATTAAGACTATTCAAATTAAAATTTCTCCGTGACCAAAATAAACAAATACACCTAAGTTTTTCGATTAATTCTCTATACTGTCAAATACATTGTTGATTACTCTCTCTATTGTCAAAGTTTTAGTCACAAATGATGAGAAATATATGAGCGAAATTCCAACTGTATTTCATATACTCAAGTATCATTGACACGAAATTTTGTTGTCAGACTGGTTTTAGCCATGCTTTTAAACACAAGTTCTGTTCATTTTTTCTAGATCAAGTTCTTTGCAATACTCTGTGCTGAGTGTTCCTAGTGATGGTATACTTGAGTTTTACATCAGTCTTAGCTTACAATGTTCAGTAGCAGCATTCAAGTCTAGTTTCTTGTTAACCGAGATTTAAGAGCATTACCATACTAATCTCAGATCACTTTAAAACTGAAATCAGACATCGACATAAGACTCTGAACAGCGAATAGATCTCTCTGTACTTACTTTCATATGTCTGCAAGTCGTTTGGCCGAGCTCGAGCTTCTCAAAAACAAGTATATATCTTCCAAAGAACTTTATATAGAAATCAACCATTCAATATACGAACATCCTCGATCCGATCATTACTTTAATGGTGTGCATACTATTTGACAAATGGTCACTGATGAACAGAACTCATGCTTGAAAATATCACAACCAGCAGGACAATGGAATTTCTTTTCAATAATACTCAGGTATATGAAATACAGTTGCAAGTTTCTCATCCATTTCTTGTCATTTGTGACGGAAGCTTTGACAACAGATACAGCAACCAACAGTATATTTGTTAAATAGGCTTTAAATAAAACGAGAACAATGCAGAGATAAATCGATAAAGTTAGATGTTTCATTGATTTTGGTCAGAAAGATATATGTTACAAGGAAAATTGAAATCAGGACAATCTTAAATTCTACTATATGGGAAATTAAAATTTTAATTTTCTCTTCAAAAGGATCCTTTCATTTTAATCAAAAATAACTCATAAATTAATTGATAATAATAATACCTACAAGATTATCATTAAAATTTTTGTTAACAGGAAAATGAGAATTGATACCGAAGTCAAAATCATTTCAAAGTAATTAAAAATTCTATTCAATGTTTGTCCAATATTTTTCAATTAATGGAATGAATGTTTTGTTAAATTTGTTAGCTTTGAAAATCTATTCTATATCAACTTATATGAAATAAAATTCGATTCAGCATCGTATGAAACTATAATAACATCATGTAAACCGTTTCGAATGTTGGAGAACTATTGAATGTCTTTCTTCGTTAAGACTTTTGTAACGCTGCATTTGTTATCTGAATCATGATAAAAATTTGATCGTTGTTAATCGCACAACTTCATCATAAAGAACGAAGATAGAAGAAAACCTTGTTGGCAAAAAATCTGCTTTCAATGTGTGCCATGAGAAAAAAAAAGAATGTAGTTTGCTGGAAAAACTATAAAAGTTCAATTGAATTTGATTTAATCACGTCATTCGCCCACCTATTATGTCAATTAAACATTGATTTGCAAATAGGTGAAAATGTCACCTCGCAATCTGTTGCATAAAATTTTTTAGCCGGAACTCTTATTTATGAGAACAAAGAGTTGATTATTTATGTTCGATCAATGTTCATAGTGTTGGTTCTTCTAGCATATCAATGAAAAAATAAAAAGAATTTGCTTTGTTTTTTTTTTCTTTTTTAAACTTGATGTCAAATGCAGAAGAACGCTAGTAACGACACTGATTTCACTTTAATCGAATCACTGAAACATATCACTCATGAGATGAATCGTACATGTTTAACTATCCTTTGCATATTAGGTGTCATTGGACATTTGTTCAATCTACAACTGTTTACTCGCCCAAAACTGATAAAAAATTCGTGTTGTAACTATTTTCTCGCTTCGTCTTGTGTTACTCTCATTCAACTCTTCTTTGGTACATTTGTACGTATGCTCGATTTGGGTTATCACGTTGATACACGAGAGTATACTGTCGAATGGTGGTGTAAAACTCGCCTTTCGATCGTTCATACATCCTACTTGATTTCATCCGCTCTAAATACTATGGCTTCATTTGATCGCTACGCATCGAGCTGTCGACAGAATCGATATCGGCGCTTTTGCCGTCCAATGCTGGCTCATCGTATTATTGTCATTATGATTGTGGTCGCATGTATTATTAGTTCCTATATGCCATTCAACTTCATCATTGTTGATGGATCTTGTTGGACAAGGCCTGGCTGGTATCGAATAGCCTATGATATATTCTTTCTGGTCATGCATGGTCTCTGCTATCCACTTTTGAGTGGAACTTTTGGTTTATTGACTATCAAGAATCTACGTCGATGTCGTTTGCCACGTTTATATCAAGATAAGATGAAAGACTTTCAGCTGATGACGTTTGTTCATACAGTATGTACCATTCTTCTCACCATGCCATTCGCTATTAACAAGCTATACAGTGCTGTGACAGTGCACTATTCAAAAGACTTAATGCAACGCGAATGGGAAAACTTTAGCAGAAACATTACTCAGATTTTATGGTTTACTAATGATGCTATTGGATTCTATATTTATTTGTTTTCATCGGCAAAGTTTCGTGAAGAACTTCTTGCATCGATTCCCATATATAAATCGCACCGTTGAAACCAACTCACACCCTCCTGTATTTTGCTAATGTAATTTTTATCGTCCTGTAATATTTTCATTGGTATAATTATTCTTTGCTTAATCAGACATATTCGTTCAGGTAAATGATTCGTGCATATAAAAGAAGATGACGATCATATTAAATGATTTTCGACACGAATACTTGATGAATAAAAAGAGGATCCAATTAATTCATAATGCAGTCATGCATCTTGTAAAAAGTTTGAATACAATAAGAAATCAAATATATATATATGTAATTTAACTTTAGTCTCTCCAAAATGTTCGTCTAATGTTGAAATTGATCATAAACTTTCATGACTGTCGAAAACGATTATGTACGATCGTGTACAACAGAAAATATGATGACATACGGTCATATTTTTGTCATATTACTTCACTCTAGAATTACAAACATGTGTCGTCCTGCCGTATACGACATATATATGACCATTGTGAACTATCATTCACCATTCAATGTGTAATCATATACTATCCCCTTTAGATAAACTTCGACTGAATGAGAAGAAGGATGACTGTTTATTCATTTAACACAAAACTTTTTTCAAGGGAATATCACTCTATTGATTATTCAAGTAAGTAACGGCCATTGATTTATCTTAAAATTCTATCTTTTACATAGTATTCTAAGTTTTAAGCTTTTGAGAAATTTATTAAAGTCATAATGTTCACACTAATATATATATTGCAAAACGTTGATAAAAGTTCTTAGAGATAGAAATAACATCGTTTGATAGGAATGCTAGTGTATGATGTCATATTTCATCGTATAGATTTATTTTATCAACTCAAAAATTCATACAAATACAACTTAATAATTGGATACTCTTCGAGAATTTAGTGTTCTTATCTTGACATAAAAATATTCAAATAAAATATATTGCAATGTTTACAGATCTTGTAATATTCTACTTTTTCAACTAAAGATGCCATATATCAATCAAAACTATCTTACATATTTAATTTTCTTCATGTTTTATTCGAAAAAATATGTATAATAGTCAATAATGTAATCATAGGAATAAATAATAAAAAAGTACATAAAATAAACAAAATCGAAAACAAGCTCAATAAAAAAAATGTCACTAATCATAGAACAGAAATTTCATCTTTATGCTTTTTCGCACGTACAATTTTAATCGATTCTTGACGATGAACAGCACAGATTATCATATGGTTCATATAGATATCTTTATTTTTGAGACATCTACAACACAATTGACATTTAAATAATGTCTACACGAAACATATGATTCTACTTTTTTAAAATTAAAATTAAGAAATCAAGATACAACCATTAATGATGAAGAACGATTGACGAAACTAGAAGATTTCGTAGCTTTTGGTATTATCGGAGAGACTCTTGGTGAAAGATATAAACGTTCGTCATCATCATTATCACTCATTGTCGTTGAATTAATAATAATTTTTCTCTTGTTCGATAAATCATCATACTTAGTACGTTTTCGTTTGGTACAAACTGGTTTTAATCTAAGAAAAAATTCCAAATAGAACATATATTTTTTTTAAAATATGTTAAATTAGTTTTTACCCATTTTGTGTCGTAATCGATGCCGTTTGTTGTTCTAACCATACTGTTACCATTCTAGTGAATAAATGACTCATGAATATGTTTTTGAAAATGAATCGAAAAAATGTGATTGTATGGAATGAATACAATTTATTGTTATTAAATCAATGATCGAAATACATTTAGAAAGAAAGAAAAAAGACATGAACGATGAACATTCAAATTGACCTCGATAATATTCATATCAAAGTGAAAGAAAGAGAAAGTAAATCGAGGAAAGATTTATTACGAAGTGATTTTCTAAATTGAATTCTAGTTGAATCGAAAGAACAACGGGTTCTTAACTTATTGATATAGACATACTGCATTTTTATATTAGTTTTTAAGTCAAAGCAGTGGTCTATCTAAGAAAACCCACCTCTCGAATTTTGACTTGAAAGTTGGCATAGAGACATTCATTAACGAGAGTAGGTTATTGTGCAAGTCTCGGATGTTTTCGTTTTTTCTTTCCTGAGATATGGTCATAGTAAACACGTGACTTTCACATCACACATATACATCAATAAATTCAATGTTCTTATTTCAGAATAGGGACAAATCAACAGATTGGAAACTTTCACAATAATCTATTCTCGTTAAGACCTGTCTCTATACCAAGTTTCAAGTCAAAAATAAAAAATCATATTTTCTGAGAGAAACCACAACATTCAGTTAAAAAATATCGTGTTGTTGCAGTGTCTTTGCACTTATGAGCATTCGTTAAAAAGATCAACACATAGTTTCTCCTTATATACAATCATCTTGAAAAAAGAAATGTTTCAATATTCATCAAAATATATACTTAATAGATATGATTTAGATAACACTTCTATGAAACAAGGCGAGCACTGCAGAAAAACTTGCAGTTACACAAATACGTTTTTGTGTGACTTTATTTTAGTTTGATAATCATCGTCTATGAGAGGTTGAACATTATAATCTTATTAACTATGAACGAAAAATGCAAACAATTAGATAAATAAAAATTCAATTTGTGAAAATCTCTCTTACAATCGACTTTATTGAGTAAAGTATAAAATCAAAACATTCATTTCAAAGTGGAATATCTAACATATTAAAGCTAACTGATGCACTTCTATACTTTTATTGTATTATGAAACATAATAGATCTATCCAATGAATATGCACTACAAATTTAATAATTAACGTAAAACAGTATTTTAATTTTGAAGTAACTATAATAGCTCATTGATTTTTGGAATCTTTATTATTCATTAAGATCTAACGCTATCATTTTACTTTCTATAAACAGAATAATCTATTTTGCATTAGAAAAAAAAGCAATTAGGGCAAAAGGTACACCAATATTTTCAGAGAAAGGGGTTGTTGTGAAGTGAAAGAAGATCCACACTCACAACCTCACATACATACATGTATGAGGTGTCGAAGTTACACTTTTTGTCGAAATTATCAAACATCTTTCAAACAACAAAATAATAATCAAGCGATTGCTAATAACATGAAAGAAAATGTATTGTCTTCGTTAAATTTTTAAAAACAATAACTAATGTAGGTATTATTGAGAAAAATTGGGAATCAGAAGCTTTCCGAAGGATGTGGGCATTTTTCTGTTCAACACACACATCCGCTCACATCTCTCGCAGGCTTCAACTTTCAATACCAAAGATAGAACAAATAAAGAATATTCATTTTGACGTTTTCTTTATCCGTTTCTCTTCATACTATATTGTTTTTAAACCTTGCATTAAATTAGGTAACATATTGATAGTCGTTTGAAATGATGTAGTCTTTTGTAAAATTTTTAAATGTCTTTCAATTGTTAATAAAAATTTATAATTGTGTGTTGCTTCTAATAGATAACTTTGAAGTTGTAATTTTATATTATTAAATCCTGATAATGAAGGACTATCAATACCTTTCAAAAAATGAATAGGGTGGGGTGTGGGTGTGTGGGTGGGTGTGGGTGGGTGTGGGTGTGGGTGTAGGCATGGGTGTAAGTACTACTCTAAGCCACACCCATACATCCATACCCATATCCATCCACACCCACACACTCACACCCACGTCGATACTGAACAATCTCGCATATTTTCATCATACAATTCACATATTTGCTCGCCTATCTCAAACTGAACCATACATATTACTGACCCCAAGACTTCGCTTGTCAGCTTTCTTTATGTGGAATCAATTGTATCGGCGATGAAACTGGTTCAAGAAAAGAGAACATTGGGTCCAGCTCGGTGAGTTGTAAAATATGAAGTCCATTGCCTGAATTGAGACAGGTTGTGACTTGGAATTGTGTGGCGGGCAATAGAAGTATTTCATCTTCATTGGAGATCAATGAATGTTTTGTAATGTCTTTTGCCGTTTTGCACTCTATTTGAAATAAAGTTCTGGCTCTAGTCGCACCGAATAGTTGCTTATTTTCGAACATTCCGATCGATAAAGTACACGAGGAAAATCCCCACCAAATAACATGCATACCTTCTTTATATTCAGTCGACAAGTTTTCCTTAACTCCTCGAAAAACCAAGCAACGCTTGGACGGAAGACGAGAAAGCTCTGCCAGTATAAGTCGAAGGTACAAAAACCATGGAATTAAATCTTACCTACGTTCGAAACGCAAAGCTGTGGTAAGCTTAGCGTATAGAGAGTGCTCATTTGGCATTGATTCAAAAGTGTAAAGCATAATAGAAGCTGATTCGTCGATCGTTAAACTATCTTCTGATTCTTGACAATTCTGCTTGACTATATATACACTTCGCTCGACTTTTGGTACGATTTCGATAAGAGGTTTGACAGCTTCCTGAAGCGCCACTAGTGGCATTTTCTGATAACCTTCTATTGGTGACAACATGCGTTTTGGTAATGTACCCACATCAACGAAGCGAAAATTAGTATTTTTGTTTTTTATAGTGCTATCAGACATTTCAGTTTTTGTAAATCTAGAATAAAACACGCTTGATTTCCTTCATATTTTCAAATTTTCCTATCAAATGACACTTTTTCACGATACCCTGTTCAATATATCAAACTATTCTTTGTTGAAGGGTATGGGTGTTGAAGTGAGAGTGAGCCTTATAATGTATCTCCTACTAACATCCAGACCTACGCCCAAACACGCATGTTCCATATCTAAACTGCACCCATTCGCACCGAACACTCCGTTTTATACAAAATTATAAAGAATCTAAAGAAGTATCTTTCGATATTAAGCTTTCATTTGATCGATGAACGTTATGAAAGTCATTGACGAAATCGGATGCTAGATTTAATTTGTTTGAGACGCCTAGTTATTTTATTTCATTGGGAATGCAATTCATAAATTGTATCGTCATTTTCTTGGCCAGCAAACCTCATCTTGAGGGTGTAAGTGTGGGTGTCGATGCGAATGCATATGTTGCTGTAGACCTAAGTGTTGATAGTGTGGCTAGATATGGGTAGGTGATTGTAGGTGGTACGGGTGCGGATGTCTGAATCGTGTTTCCAATCTCAGACCCACGCTCACATCAACATTGCACTAAGTTCTAGAATGAAAAACAATAACATGAAACTGTGTGCGAAGAATACAGAAAAGTAAATTCGGTAGGTTGCTGACTGAAAAACAATCATCATTTGATCAGATAGACGGAAGTTCGTTAAGATTATCCATTTCATGTCTACCTCAATCGATTGTAATGAAAACTTTCGTTATATGTCTCCCATATTTATGACATTAAGAACACTTGTTTTGAATTTACGAATTATCGTCATATATTACTCGCCCAAATGAAATAATCAAAGCTTCACGTATCAATTAATATGTTTCAGTGACTGCAATTTGGAACTTCGTTAGATGTTATGTATGTGCGACTGGTTGGCTGTTCGTCACATGATCCTTTTGTTATATTGAAGCATAGAAATACTTCACCTTTATTATTCTTTTTATCTTCCTACCTTCATGTTTTTCGTTCTTTTTTTGAATATTTTTTAGCTTTGCATTCCCATGAAAAGGACTGCTGACAGAAGCAATAAAAACATAGAACTTTGCTCTTTTTCTTCTCAGGCCTCCTAGCTTTTATTGACATTGCTTCTATTTACTCGTTATTATTCATTTTCGTATTTCATTTATCTCAATTTAACATTACTCCTATTCTACGCATTGGCTGTTAGTGGCAAATGTATGCTTGTCATTACCGATCATGTCTACAACAACAGATCATAATGCAGTATTACACATTTTGATTAGCTGTCAGCCCTTCAAACTCCATGATGTGGGTGTGGATCTAGAGTGTGTATGTAAATTCGTGGATTTGGGTGTGGGGTTGGGGGTGGGTGTGTTGGTATCGGTGTGGGTGTGGGTGTGTGAGTATGAAGAGTGGAATGATTGTTTAAGTGTGGGTATATATG